GTCTACTGACGTTCGTAACGATGCGACACTTCATTCCGAGTATCGCTTCGCTAAGGAGAAGTATGTCATGGATGCAGACAAGATGTTAAACGACCTGCCGACCGATCGAGACCTTACCCGAATGCCAGTACCGTGGTCGTCAACGTCTTGGGCTGACGCAGGAATACTTCATGTGTGATGCGGGAGGTTGGGGTTTTCAGGTTCCTTGGGACAGCGTTCGCAGTAAACTCGTGGACTGCAGAAGTGCATGTTGGTTTCCGAGCTGGGGCAGATGCTTGTCCCCTTATATCTGACAACGGAAGAAGTTCGGCTGCATCGCAATAGGTTTGCACGTGCATATCACGCAAAAGTCCTGCAGAGTTGAGGCTGACACATGTACGCATTTCAGTGAGGTTCGACTGATCCTCCTGGAAGATTCACCACCACGGATGCAAAGAGCATTGGCTCGCCGTAGACGGGTGTCTTCATGATGTGTGCAGTCCATCTGTGTCCAAGATCCCTTAGCCCTGCAAGTTCACAACGCCAGACTCCCTGTTGCGACCCCTTGCTCAGAGGCCTGCAGAAAGGTGGATTTGTTATGGTTCTGTAAGGCTCCGACGTATGCCAAAGCGCTTTCAAGCAAAGTAAAGAGCAGGCTGCGAAATTTGCGCTTGCAGCTGAGGCATGCAAAAACAACTTCCTCGTCAAGAAGACTGCGAAGACTGTCTACAAAGTTGAGAAATGCGCGGAGAAGGCTGTGAAGAGAGCAGAGCACGTGACGCTTGGCGCCGATCTCCGGATCAGCTCAGCTTTGCATGCTCATGCTATACTTCATCCACTTGCATTGGCAGCACCGTCTACTCTCTTCATCACCAGCGCTGGAAGCACACTTCGCTAAGGAACCTTGCGCAGGAGCAGCAGATCAAGGAGAGCATTGGATGCAGCTTCGTTAACTCACCGTACACTAAAAAGTTGCAGCACAAGTGCGGAGGGCCAGGACAGCTCTGCTAAGACCTGGGATTAGTCCTGCATCTGACCCTGCATCGTAGGTTCGTCCTAGCCAGGCGGGAGGCAAAAAAAAGACCTGGGATCCGTACCATCTTGACTTGAAAGTATTTGCAGTCAGCCTGGGTGTTCCAACTAGTTCAATGTCAAGACTTGCATGGTATAGAAGTGCCCAGTGGGCAAGAAAGGACACACACACAGACACACGTGTGTGTGTGTGTGTGCGCGCGCGTGTGTTTGTTTTATAGTTAGCGCTTGGATCCAAGGCTGGTTGCAGAATTGTGCCTTTTTCTGCAAAGAGGATACATATGCTTGTGCAGTGTTAGCTTTGACTTGTAAATCGAGCTGAGCAGATGAGCCCCAAGCACCATCAAGCAGCAGCATATAGCAGCACTGCAGCATGCTTTCTGTACCGCCGGAGGGAAAACCGCCGGAAGCGCGTCCTGATACCACGCAGCAGCACCGGGTCTGCAGAGAAGGGCGCGAGATGTCTCGCAAGCGACTTGTGATGACAGCTTTTTCCAACCAGGTGTACTTGTAGCAGTACAGTGTGACATGAAAAGAGCGGATGCCCGCTGTGGCATGCTGTTGCGTGCTTTCGAGCACTTTTGCAGCACTGCACATCCGAAACCCGTAGTTGCTGCAATCGCAATCACGGCAGAACCTCGCTCGCCGGGGTACGCTGCTGTGGCCCATGCAAAACCTCGGTCGGAGTATGTTGGAGTCGTCACTGTAAACTTGTCCATATTGTCGTCCTGTGCAACCTTGTGCAAGCCGAGGTTTCTCGATCCCCTCGAAGTTTGCCGGCCGTCCGAAGATGACGAAAAAAGATTGGCAAGACTTCGATAACAGCGCAGCTCGGACTGTCGATCTTCAGGTTGTGACAGGTTTCGCTTGCGAGTGTTTCCCGGATGCAAATAGTATCATCAACTTTCAACCACTTCGCTGCGATGCTTAATGGCCGAAAGCGCGGTAGCACCGGTAGCAGGACGCCGCCGGAGCCATTTCCCAGAATTGGGGTGGCGGTGGTGGCTCCGCAGGCTCGGCTCAGATCGTGTGAAGCTGAGGGGCTCTTTCAGGCGTGGCGAGGCAAGGTTCAAATTCAGAGATCGGGTGGTACTCGCAACTGCTTCACTGCTCCGGGCTCCTCAAATCCATCTGACACTTGGCCACTAGATTGGGCTTGAATCCCATCTCGGAAGCTCCCACGGGAAAGACCCTATGTGGAGCCAAAGACCGTGCCGTGCACCACACACTTCTTAACCTCGCCTAAAGACGTGCCTGTGAGAAGGTGACACACATGCGTGGCTGGGACGGAATGGCTTCGGGCACGGCCGCTATGGCCACTATGGGCCACACTGGCATAACGGCCGGTACATGCAGCGTTTTCCCGGTCTGCACGGCCTCTCGCACAGCACTTGGGAGAGCTTGCGGCATACAAAGCATCCCACCCTCTGGGCGAAAGCAACCCCCCGTGCAGACCATGTCTCACAAACCCAAGCATAAGCCCCAGAGCCCAGTCCCAGGCCCAGGCGGCTACGGTGCCGGCGGATACGGACAAGGGGACACGTACGGTGCACGGCCACATCCCAAGCGACCCTTGCAGCCAGGCATGGCGCAGGGCGGCATCGAGGTCTCGTTGGAAAGCCATTTCGTTACGTGATTTCATGTCAGCAATATAAGCGTCGCATAACGTTGAAAAAACCTGTGTGCATGTTGCTACTTCAGGCCGCGATTCCTTGTGTCAACAGCCGCTGTGTGAGGAATCACTACATGCTTCCTTCATACCTGACACCCAGGCATAAATGGTGTCGCTGGTAGCAGCGGAACGGGCTCTGAGGGCGAGCTGACGCCCAGGCAGCAGCACGAACAGACTCTTGGACACAGGAGCATCATGTCCTGGAGGGCGAGTTCCGGACGCTTTCTATTCAACTGCAGAGTGGCTCGGAGTTTGCACGGTGGTGGCGAGCAGGGTTCCGAGCTTTAGATACAGCTGCGCGAAACCACTTCTGGACCGAGTCCAGGACATAATCCGAAGTCCTCAACCTCATAATCACGACTTTTGCAGAAAAAACAGGGGCAATGCAGGGGAGGATCGGATGACGCAATCGTTTTCGAGCCGTGGTGCTTGTTGCACGCCTGGCATACCCATGAGAAGCGTTGAGGCATTCCTGCACATCCGACTTCAACCCGCGCGGATCGAACTGACTACCCCACTAGGCAGTTCCAACAGTGGTTCGGTGCCAGTCGTGCTGCCGTCAGTCAGTCCTGCTTGACCAATTGCTTGGAGGATTTGAGTTGCAATGCGGGGTGCTTGCACGGCTTCTGTGCGAGAGCGCCCTCCGCCTAGCTTAAGCGTTCCGATCTGTACGCTGGAAAACCTTCACTAAATCAGATCTGCTTGTCCCCCATCTTCATTGCCCTTTGCAAGCCGAGGGCTCTGATGAATCGTGCAAAAGAGCTGGCCAAGGCGAGCTGGGAGAGGCCAAGAGAGGTGTGGAGAAAAAAAGCCAAGACGTCTTGTCGACTTTGCAAGAATGGAGCGAGTCACTAATGTTTCGAGCATTTTCCGACGGGCAAATACATATTTCTGTCGTGCAGCACATGGTTCTTTCAGATATTTGCTGCATTGCTCTCCTTCTCACACTTCCCGGCAAGGCTAATGTGGACGTCCCAGGTCCTTTCAGGACAGGGAAGCACTTGGAGGAGCTGCAGAGTGGACGGGGTCCGGAGGCGTCGAAGAAGAATAGTAAAAGGGTCGGGCCTTGCTGTTGTCCAGCACTGTATCGCTCTACCAAAGACTTGCCTAACCAAAGAATGTGCCGGCTTTCGATTGCCTGTCTTTGCGTGCACCCCAAGCCGAGGCTCCAAGTAAAATATGTTCATCCGAGCCAGACACCTTAGCAAGGAGCTTCCGCCGCCAGCCCGGCCGCTGAAGCTTCTCGGCTGAGAGGTGTACATCGAAGGTCAGGCCCTGCTGCAGCAAAGCGTGCCTGGCACCCTCCAACACTTTTGGTGTTCCTGCTGTGTGCCTTTCCGAGGCCAATCTACCCCTTTCCGCAGCCTCCCATCCTGGAGAGTGAGACGGCTTCCGTCACCACGCTCTGACCTTAAAGGGAAAAGTTGCGCTTTTGTCCCCACTATGTGTCCACTCAGTGTTTGAACACTTCAGGATGCCAGTCTACAGTGGCCCCGATGCACCAGACGTGGCCATGTCCTCGTTGCCTGCCGGATGCTAGATCAGCTAGGTCACAGGAATTCTCTGCAGTTTGGACCGTGACTGCGTTACTGTTCGAGATTGTCACCCTACGCGAAAGCCACGGCGGCTAGTGAGTCAAGTCATGGACCCTTCTGCCTCAGGATGTTCCCGGTGGATGGGCACAAGTCATTTGCTGCGTCTCGGCCAAATTTCTTGGAAACCCGAAGCTCGTGGCATGCCCCTTCGAGTGGTGGTTTTGAGTGGGAGAAGCTGCGCAGCCAGCTCCATCAGGGGCACCCTTCAAATCCACCAGCATTGTCTTCGGAGCAATACCAGCCTGATGATTCGAGATTTGTGAACTGCTTAGGTTAGCGTTGCTTTCCTCCTACTCGGTGCGCGACCAGAAGGAGCACTGCTGAATTGTGGCACCAATGAGCATCAGGCCGTTTAATAACACTCGTCTCCCAAGTGGCAAATGCTGACAACCCCTTGCCTGCTTTTGACATAGTACGGTGGCAGGGGTAACCGAAAGATACTGGATTCCTGGGTTGAGTTCTCGTGAGGAAATTGCAGGCGCAGAGCCCTGGCCACCGAGTTCTTGACGGCCGCCGCTGTGAGCTGACAATGCCTGCGTGTCTTTGTCTATGCTCGGCATGGCGACTTTTTCTCACAGCCGCCGCGACTGCCCCCGCCAGCGTCTAGGCTCTTGCATGACACGCCCGAAAGTGTCCAAAGATCGCAAGAGCAAAACACAGCTCTATGTGCGAGAGCAGTTCGTGGGCCGATTCGCATGTGATGTGCAGCGGCGAACGTGCAGGATCATTGCTACCTTCTATTTGGCATGGGTGCGGAGGACTTAGTTCTGTGAAGTGCTCCGTGTACGAATGCGAACGCGAGAGCGCGATGCAGATCGTGATTCTCGCGCAAATGTTGGGTGGAGACTCTATGGTCCCCTTCAGTGTTTCTTGAGGTTGGAGCTGGGGTGTCATTGCAAGCACCTTGTTGCCAGCAGCCATGCTCATGTCATGTAATAGTCCTAAGCACTGCGAAGCCGAGGTCGGGCTAAGACCAAATCCAAAGCTTCAGTCCTGCCCCTCTGTGGTATGAACCCTTCGCGAATCGAACGATCGTCCAGTGTCTGCAGCGGGCGACTGAGGTGTTGTGGGGTGTACCTGATTTGGCTGATGCGCTCAGCAGCTTGTCTCATCTACTGTCGCTTCTGCTCAGCTGTGCCCGACGCAGCCCTCTTCATTGCAGTTGCACTGCGAGACTTCAACAGCTCCAACCCTTCATGCAGCAAGGTTACCGTTATTTCCAAGCATTATGTGGGAATGTGGCGCGCTGTTCCAGCATGCCAAGACAGCCATGCAGCATGCGTCGAAGAGCTAATAGCAGCCAATATATTGGGTCGGAATCAATAGTGAAATACTCTTACTTTTTTACAAGCAAAGTATACATAACACCAACCCCCGTTTTGACTATCAGGGCCCCTATATAAGGCAGACGAGTCGAACGCTTTGCAGCCAAAGCCGGGAGCGAGTGTACGTTAACCCAGTATCGGATCTTGCATTCTCATAGGTATGCCCCTCTCAACAGTCCCCAAGTCACTCTTCGCATGTCAGCAAAAAGACTCAAGTACATCTGAAACACAGCCTCCAAAGCCGTGAACGTGTGTGCAAGACCACCCTACCTCTCGTTTTCCTGTGACAGCTTGGTTGGCGCTCAATAGGACGCTGCAGTGAATGAGTTTTGAATTGTATGGGTGCATCATAGCTGCACGCAGCGGTGAAATTCAGGTCCTTCACGGCTATCGCAGGACAGGCAACCGCTGCTCGCTCGGAGTAGAGCTGGCAGTGTACGACATGTCAGTGTAGATCGATATCTTTAAGCTTTTGGCAGGCACCTTGCCTTGTGCTGAGGCTTACATGCGGGCGGCCTCTCCGGACTCACAAAACGCATGTTTGGGGGTGCCTGAAACGGAAGTGACCCGTAACTTAGCGAGGTCTGCTCCCATGCTCGGGCTCGAGGTCTCGAGGTGTCGATACCATGAGGGGCCATGCTCAACAGAGGGTGCCTTGCAGCTCTGGCAAATTTTCACCGCCTGAAGTTTGGGTTCCATGAGCAGACGCAGCTCAGTGTCTTGGTTTAGCTGTAAGCCCAAACTGTATGCGGAGCCTTTTGCAGGATGTTCCGCGAATTCTCGCTGGGCCGCCGCTACCACGGCCAGGAGAGTCGTCGGGATCTTCCGTACAGCTCTATAGGCTCCTGAAGATAGGCGGCGCTTCGGGCCTTGCAGGCGAGAAAGTAGAGAAACTGTAGGACAAGCCATCTGCAAGGGCCCAAAGGTTCTGAACGAAACATCAAGCATCAAGAACCCCCGGCTCCGGACCACACCACACACATCTACCCCCCCCCCCCCCGCATGGATGAACGATTTCTTTGAGTTGAGGCTTACAGACAACATGCAGAGTTGACACCGCAAACACTGCTTCACCCTCACAATGAATCCGCCTTGTGCTTCGCCTCGACCAGTCATTGCCCCTCTCATTGCAGGAGTCCTAGGTCCCGGGTCTTAGAGTTTTCTCGAGCTTGACGTGAGGACCTCGTTCGGGCAGTTGGGCCAAGCGTCTTCCATGCGCAGTGGCTCTGCCTGCTCAGTATGCCGTCCGAGTTAGGGATACAAGTCTCAGCACCTCTGTTGAGCTCTAGGGCCGTTGGCTGCATGAGGCTCCCGAAAAGCCGGCGCTTATCGATGCAAAATCTATAAAGAACGGTGCTATCGTGCTTCTTAAAGTCGTGTCGTGATGTTACGACGCACACACTGTTGTTTGCTTTTACAGGTGGGCCACCTACACCTGCGGTGCACTGATTGGCAATGCCGTGCGGCACTCAACTCCAGGCAGTCCATCTCTCAGACGACTCCGCTGGTCGACAGTATGGACTGGTTGTCATGCGAACTCTGCTGCTCCGTTGTCGTGCACTACGGACGCCGTTTTGAGTGGTGGGCCCGCAGCTTGTGACACAAATGGCACAGTTGCGGGTCATGACTGATCAAAGTTTATCGAGCTTCAGGCGATGGCGCTGGCAGCTCATCTGCATGCGGGACTGTCCTTGACATCAGGCTTGCAGGCTAATTGATTATGTTCTACTGCCTGTGCACTTGCATCGTGTGTGTCAGATCCGTCAAGTGTCTGGCATGCTGGTGAAGGCTAGACAGCATCATTGTCTAAGTTTGCCGCTGTTGTGCGGTCTTTGTAGGACATCGGCATTCACATGAAGCGCGGCTGGCCATTCCTTCAGTGAGAACATCGTTTGCAGGTCCAACCCTCCTTGACTGCTGAGGTGCTCTTCATGTTTGTCCTTTGGCTCCTCTTCCTTGTGTTGCCTGCCAGCAATCGCTCCTTCTGGCCGAAAAGGTGGACCTCGCACCATGAACCTTTTCTTGTTGAAGTTTGCCCCCGCTTGGGCAGAAACCTGCCGAATCCGCTGTCTCGGGAAAAATGCGATCAGCTTGTGAGATGACTTCTGGTTGTGGATGTCTTCGCCTGTGTCACTGAGCAAGCCAAAACCAACTTATCTATCCCATGCGTGTGCGTGATTGTGTCGACAAGCCGGCCTCTGAACCGGAACACCAAACCGTGTGCCCTGAGCCCACTCGCGACATTTTCCCGTCGCAGATCAAGAAGGAATGTTCAACAACATGGGAAGCTCCTAAGTTTTAAAGGTCCGAGGGGCATTGAGCATGTTGGCCTCGCAATTGTTCATCCTAACTTCGAAGGTTGAGCTTGCCGCAATTCTGGGAAGCTCAGTGGGCCCTTCGAAATTGGTGGATCCTTTACGATCCTGGGCTGTATGAGCTGTGACTTTAGGGGGAGCAGCTGCGCAGGTTGTTACGCATGCAGGATCTGCACTGCTTGGAAAGCCAGACTCAGTGTGGCAGGGTAGGGCAAGGTCTTTGATCAGAGGCGAGTATTCCAGTTGTATCCAGCGTAAGGGACCGAGCCACACTTTCGCGAAGATAAGCGATGAGAGTTTTCAGGCGATCGTGGGTTGTCTTTCAGGGCGCGGGGGCTGAATTCGGCACTGGGTAGGGGAGGTGCCAAGACGATTCGACAGAAGCTGGGAAAATCGCGCAAGGCGCGGGGATGTTCGCGCCGGGCTACAGGTCCGTGTTGTTCCGTTGTTCACCTCGGCCGTTCCCACGAGTATGTATGGCTGGAGATTGCCTAGCTACTAGTTGGTGTTCGTTCGGTGTACCGGTCTCTATTTAGCTAGCTGAGTTTGCATAAACTTTGATATGGCAATGAATTGTGGCGAAGCTATGCCTGACACAGCTATTGGACCTGTCTTACTCTCAGACATCGGCTTCAATCAGCCTTGCAGCACCACGACTTCCTGCGTAGTCGACCCCGTGGCATCCCGCACTTCTTGTGGAAGCTCGGCCCCATATGGAGATTCCAGAGATCCGGAGCTTAATGAGATCCTAGGGGCTGCTCTACGTCACGCGCTGGAGCATTTTCCGGCAACTTGTCGAAGCTCCCTCCGACTATGTTCTGTTCATGGGCTTACATGTCGGTGCGTGTGCGACTATGTGTCCATCTACTGGTTAATTAGTTTGATGAGTTCAACTTGAGACGACGAGATGGATGATCAGCGTCAATTAGTTTCATGAGTTCGACTTGAGACGTCGAGATGGATGATCAGCTACTATGCTGATGCCGTAGCATGCTTAGCTGCGAAGAGACGGTCCTGCCGAGTTTCGGCATCTAGCTGGGAGAGCGCTCAAGCCTTCCATCTCAGGTGGGTTATACCGCAGCGCGTTGTGACGCCAGATGGCTCCGTACTGCGGCGGCGTGCCCGCTGGTTGCATATGCAGAGACTGCTGTCATTCCAAATGCGCTTTGAGTGAAAATCCGAGTGTGAATTGCATCTAGTACGGCTGCACTGTTGAGTTGACCTCGTGGACCCTCTTGATAAGTGCAACTATCGGACTTCTAGTCTTCAGGAGCGGATGTTGACGAGCGAAGGTCTGGGATCTCGTCTTCCCAACGCTCACGCTCTTGAACTTCGTACTCGGCGCGACCAGTGCTTCGGCGCAGGTTGATGCAGGTGACAGGTTGTGCCCCGAGCAATCCAAGACTCGATCCAATGCAGGTATAGGAGAGTTATGGTCGCCGATCACTCATTTATGCCAATCTTTTTGCACGGAATGCCAAGGGCAAGAAATGTGTTTCCAATTGGGTCGCCGCCCACTCATGCCTGGGCAACAGTGCATTCCACATTTGAGTAAGTCCAACCGGCAGTGTTCAGGCACTAGTATCAACGGTTAGCACCTTGTTGAATGTTTTTTGTCAAGACTGGAAGCACTGCAGGGTCTCCTTGTGCTTCACAGCGAATTTGTCAACCGAGGTGGTGTTATCCGGAGTCTGGCGGCGCACTCAGCTGCCTCCTGTATAGCACGGAATTCTTTTCAAATCTAGTCAACCGAGAGTCGGCACAATGCTTTCTTTTAGTGTCAACGCGAGCCACTGGGCTCTTTAAGCCTCTGTCTCACATAGATATAGACTTGCGAAGGCAAGTATGCCACGCGGTGCATAAGGGAAAGCAAGCCGAAGGACGAGAAAAAAAGAAGAGTGTTCGTGGCCCAGGTCATTGCGCCCTACCTTTTGATACACTTCTTCAGGCCGGAGTCACAAATTCGGGTTCTGCATGCGGTCACCCGAAGTCGAGCAGGTGAGGTTGGAGCATGCAGGACACTAAGAGCCTAGGACTAGGATTGCAAACGCCAGTCTAAATCAGTAGGCTAGCCTCGAAAAGCCGGCATCCTCGGTTGTAACCCCAAGCCCATGTTGCGTTCGATTGATTGAAGCAGGATAGACATCACCTACCTTCCAAGCGACCTTTGTGACCCTTGGCCGCAATCGCAGCCTTGGGTGGCTTGGTGTCGGCAGGGCAGGGTGTCCAGCACGGTGTCCGGTATCCAGAGCGCCTCTGAGCCCGCCTTGCTAGAGCTGCAGCGGCTAGAGCGTGGAGCCCGGATCGAGGATTGGGATTGGTCTTTCCAACCCTTCGTGTCGTTGGTGATGCACTCTCAAAGGCTCGACTTGCTTTGGGCGAACCCAGGGCGGGGCTCAATGCTGTGAAAGGCAGGACTTGAACTTGGGCCGAAGTTTTATCCAGATCACCACTTCCAAGTACTTCCAACTTCTAACATATAACAGTGATCCGCATTCAAGATGGAGCAGCTAAGTTTTCGAGAGCAACTTGATGCAACTTCGCTCTTCGCAGAGGCTATTTGTTTGATGGGCTTGATGACTGGGCAATCTTGGAGGCGACTCAACCCCATCCTCCTCGCCACCGTTGCGGAGCTTGCTAAGAAGCCCTCTCAGGAGCTTTTCGCCTTTTTGCTGTTTCGGGGTCAGCTGGTTTTGTAGTGTTTTGTTGAGGCTGCAGGACTGGCAGATGCTTTCATCGTATTTCCAGTCCCAAGGCGTTGTGATATGCGCCAGGGCTGTTTGAAGCTGTGCGTCGCCGTGCAGAACAGCAGGAGCCGCCCGCTGCACCAGCCCAGCTGAACGCAACAGTCGAGGCCTGGACCTGAAGGGCCGGAAGGAATGAAATGGAATGAAAAAAGAGGCCTTGCCGCTTGAAGTCTGCAGAGGCGTTTGTAGTGCCGATGTCATATAGCTTCTGCCAGCTTCGCTAGCGCCGACCAATTCAGAAGCAAAGAAACCCTGCCACGCACCAGAAGGGCTTGAGTTCTTGCTACCTGCTCCTAGGACAGCAAAGTCTGCTTGCGTCTTTCTATTGGTTTCTGCATCGGCTGCAGTGCCCTGCTGGATCTGGAAGGCAAACAACAGGATGGAGTCCAACTTCCATCCATGATCGTGACGTCCTGAACCTTGATCTACGAACCCCACTCCTATGTCTTGCCTAACTAATTCAGGAGGAGCAGGAGATGGGCTACATGGCGACGGCTGTCCAAGGTGGCCACCCGTTGCGAGAAGGCTCTTGGGGGAAATCTATGAGTCACTAGTCATGTTTGCCAGAACAGAGCTTTCAAGGGTTTGCCCTGCGATTCTTGCGACCTGCTGCTTCGGTGCATTGACAGCACTCGTCGTTCGAATCTCCAGGCTTGATTGATGTTGCGAGTTGCATCTGCTTATCGTTCTTGTCGCAGTGGAGGCTGGCAAAGGGCACTTGTCGGCTCGGCCAGGTTTGCCAATCCCCGCGCAGTGCCCGCCAACTCGGGCGCGCACAACGTGGCATCCTTAGATTGGGACGTTAGCTTCCATGCAGATATTGCAAGTGCCCCTGAGATATACGTTTGATGAATCGGAATCGGGATCGCAGTCCTAAGTCGGCTGGGCAGTTGTGAAAGCAGCACACCAGAAGAGGCGTCGCAGTCCCAAGGCACACATCTGAGCCTCATCTGTTTCTTCAAGTTGGCACGTGTCCTCAGAGGCCCGGCCCGCAGAGCCTTCGCGCACGGCAGCGCTGGCAATTGGCTTTGATCCTGGCGAGGAATCCGTCACTTGGTTTGAGTTTCGACAGCGCACATTTGTGCTGTGGTCTGCTGGGATACCCCGAAACCTCGTCCGCCCCAGATTATTGGGCATCCTGCAAGGTTTGAGGGCAGGCTTTTTGATTTCGGCGGACATGCACGTGCACGCAGACACACGCAAACACATACACCAGGTATGTGCATGGCTGAGCTAGCAGCTGCAAGCTCAATGTCGTGCAGAGAAATGCACATGCTTGGAATGCCTAGCCTAGGTCTCTTCGTCGGCTCCGAAAGGCGACTTTACTTGCACCTTCGTTTTGACGCTGAGTATAGACTGAACCATGTGTGCACAGGGCAGTGGCCGGGCCGACAGTGCTCCGGGCTGCCTGCAACGGCCAGACGTGCAAGAGGACCAAGGGTTTGGATTGTGGGGATGAGTCGCAGCACTCTTCCCACATCTCGTCACTTCCGTTCTGCCCGAATAAGAACAGTATCTGGCGGACCTCAATGCACATTCACAGGACCCAAGTGCTCAGGGTTGAAGTTTGAATGGTGCAGATGCCGACAACGTCGAAGCAAGAGCCTTCAGCATGCCCAAAGCGGCTGCATTGAGACCGGATCTACTGTAGCAGCCTCTGTCTCATGCCCTCCGTCCAACCTTCCATGCCCGCGTCCTGCAGGGCATCGATCGATATCTACACTGACTAGCACGAAGAAATTGGAGGTTCGTTTGATGTACACCCTGAACATCCCTGAACCTAAACCGAGCCTTAAGCCAACAGGCTTCAAAGCCTGTGCAGTTATGCATCAAGAACAACCAAAGGTTCCAAGTCTTGGGAGATCCAACATCTTCAGCGAAGGAACCGGCAGAGCCACGGCAGCCGCTGATGCCTTTGCAGCTCCCTGGTCTCCCCCCGCGCCGGCTAGAGCCCGGGCCCTTGACAGCTTTGCCGGATTTGAGGGCGGCAGGATGATGCCGGTTGTATGATTCTCCACACTGGGTTTGCCTTCGGGCTTCTCTTGACTGCTGTTTTCATCTTGGATCTCGACTGGAGGTACTACTTGTAGGGCATGAAACTGCCATGCTCATGGGATTCGAAGCGGTCGAGACCCGGTTGCTATGTCATGTGAAAACAAACCGGCGAAGACTTGACGGCGGGATTTTGGGAGCAGGTTTCTGTCACGAATGAGTGGAGATTCATGTTTGAGGAACAATGACGTTGTTTCTGGTGTTTTGCCAATAAGTCAAAAGCAGCATCGTAAGGAGTACAGACTTGCAATGCTGTGACTCGCTGGCTTACATTACCTTGCATCGCAATTACGGCTTCCGCATACATGCACCAGAGTGGAACCATGTGTGGAACCCATTCGTGCCACCTCTTTGGGCCACCAAGCCTTGCATTGAGACTCCCAGGAGCAGCAACACCTTCTGGAGTCCGCTGAATTCCTGGACGCGTGCCACTGCGGGCAGTGTAGCTAGCTCCTCTTTGCAGTAGAATACAGAATGTCTACAGCCCGATGCAGATGACTACGCGCGGCCATTTGTGGTTGGAACATGTTGGAACTTGGGAATGCATTTCTTTAGTTCGTAGAGCAGTCATCGTTTTGGTCGTGGCGGTGACGGCGACGGCTCCGGCGGCGGCGGTGGTGGTGGTGGTGGTGGTGAGGTGGGTGGGAGTGGCATGCCGGTGACGCAAGGGTGACCCGCATAGTAACCGCGTCCATGTCTTGACGGCTTGAGGTAGTTTCATTCTTGCGACTCCTGAGGCGCGAGGACCGCCATGCTGAGCGATGTCGGCGGACCGTCCCCAGGGCGCTTGCCCGTACGAGAAGTTAGTGAGGCTTGAGCTCAAAAGCAGCCTGCACGGTGACTAGGCATCTCCCGTGCCTCGAATTGGATCGCAGTCTGTTTCTTTGAGCTAGAAGACTAGAGCTGGAAGTTTGCGTATATCAGGCCTTGCCAAGCATCATTACCCGACGATTATCTAGCTACGTATCTCACTGCATTGCAGTCCTGTGCTGAACGGCAACTGAGACCGGAGACCTTGGTCACAGGGTTCCTGTTGCAATGCCACCTGAAGCCATGGGAGCACCTTCCGCCGCAGAGCACGCTAGCCGATCGGCTCTGGGGCATTAGACTTCGGGGCTATTCAGACGATTTGCTGATAAGTCAGGGCATGGTGCACAGATTGTCCTTACGCCAGAAACTCAGGTCTGGCAGCGTTGTGCGGTTGATCGTGTGATTGAAAGCATTGCAAAAAGCTTGCAGTGTACTGACTATGTGGGTAGAGGTGAGTGTGTGCTTCGCTCGAGGCTTGGAAGCCTTCCTCGACCTTGCCCGCAGCGGTGCACTGGCCAAGTTTTTCTGGTTTCAGGCGTTTGAAAGGCGGTTTTGAGGATTACACGGTTAGATCTTGCGACCTGTGAGCCTTCTGCAACATCCCAGAAGCCTAAGGCAAAGGTGCCTTCGACAAAGAGGCGAGCGCAAGCTTCAAGAAGCTGGCAAGCCAGAGGCGGGCCAGTGGAGAACATTGCAAGCAGTGAGAGGAGAGGCCGGCTGACAGGAGCTTGGTAGTTGTTTGAAGCGTTGCATCGGTGCTTTCGGTGTTCACGCCCTGGGGCATGAAGGCTGTTCAGTCATCTCAGTCTTGCCACAGACAGACACACTGCACATGCGCACCCACTCTCTCCCTCTCTCTTGCCGGACGACCTCGGACCAAGTGAGCTTCGGCCTCGCAAGAAGCGAGCAGATAGCGACCGGCACGTAGAAAGAATGGCGGCATTCGAACAAAGTGGTCAAGTCATCCTCGGGATGAAATCCACCGCCCCGAAGGACTTCGAAGCATGGAACAACTTGGCCAAGGTGCCCGAGACCTACGACCCCCCGCAAAGGGCACAGCATTGGTTCAAGAAGTTCATCTACTGTGCTGGCAAGTCCTCGCTTTGCTGTTTAGTGCCACCAGCCAGGATGCTTTTGGTCCCCTGTTGTCAGAATCAAATGGCGGACATCACGACCTCAGACGAGTGGGTGGAACAGATGCTCCGAGTGCCGAGTCACAAGAACTGTCCCGAGCACCTCAAAGGCAGGGCTGGTGCAAGTGACAAACGTAGGTTCTAGAGCCTATCCCACCGAAAATCTTCTCCTGCTCAGGAGCTTGGTGGTTGCAGGAGAACGTAGCCGGAGAAGGCGTGTTGACGTTTCACGATGCGGACTGGCAGAGCGAGTCGGTCGGATTGAAGCTTGGCAGCACTTCAGACGCGACGAGTAGGCAAGCTGGAGCCTATACATGCACACGCCGATCAGTACCGGCTGTGAGCTCGTAGCAGTTTGTGGAGATTGTAGCTAGGAGCTCCTGAGAATCTGAGGAAGAATTCCAAGTATAACTGGACCATCGATGCGTGGAATCTTTGGGGCGTGATTTTGACATGTAATGGGTATTGGACAGGTGGAGGACACTTGTTCGAAACCTCGCCGGACGGCAAGTGGATTCACATCACTTTCGGCGAGTCAAAAGCTTCCCACTGGATCTACGTAATCCAGCCAGGCGATGTATTCAAAGCACCAGATGGAACCATTCTCGATGTGACCCCAGGTGAAGATATGATGCGAGTCTCTTTCGATTCCTTGAACACCACCGGCCAGATCGACTTTCAGTACTTGGTGCGGCGAGTTGCCTATCTTGATGAAAATGGCAAGCTCGTCAAAACGCCAAATTACGACAAGCTCATGAAGGTGGCAAATTCTAGCACTCAGTTTTGCTGCTTTGACTGTGGTGATGGGAACATCGATGCAATTCAGCGAACTCAGAATTTCAGAATCGCTTCTCCGCCGGCACAAGTTACCATGAGCGAGGGCGAGCGTGTGTGAAGACCTTGCCAGCACCTGGCGAGGAAGCATGGGAGATCCGTTTAACAGTTGTCAATGACTCGGCACACCAGATACAGCGTTTATCGAGTAGGAAACCTTGGATGCTAAATTCACTCTCCGAGCCACGACAGCAGATTCGAGTCGACAAGCTTCGCGTTGAGAGCAAGATCATAAGGAGACTGCAGAAACTGCTTCCAGCAGCCCACAGTGACTTTCGGTGGTTGCTCAAATTTCCGACTCTGCTTAGGGCTTCCTGTGAAAACCAGTGCCCTCCATGCTCGCGAGAGTTTTTGTTTTGCACATGCCCCGGATATCCGGGCGACCAGAGCCTTCAGTTGAGCTGAATCCGAAAAGGGAGTATACTTGCAGGCTGTTGGCTCAGTGCCTGTCAGTTTGTCTCTGTGTCTCTGTCTGTGTGTGTGTGTGGGGATTTTGGTGTAGGTGTGGGTGTGCGTGCCCCTCTGTGCCGGACACATCTCACCTCTGCGACTGCCACCCGACGAAGCCTTTCAAAAGAGCGTCAGACAAGTACGCTGAGAGATTGCAGGTGGACAGTGGCGATGTCGCTCTTGGGATCGGACCGTGACTTGATATTCGTGCGATCTTCCAAGCGAATCACTTGAGATCCACAAGCACAGGACTGGGAGGGCTTGTGGCTGCCATTCAGCCCACTAATGATCGCGATGCAGGCCTCTCCGGAATCTTCGCGGGACTTGCAGGTTCAGTGTTCATTCAGGCTTCGCTGCGGCGAGTGGCGGTCTTGAGGTTGTTAAGGGCTGTCGGCTTCGAGCCCCGACATTCAGCCCTTTTGTCAATGTGATGTGCTACTCTAGCTGGGACACTACTTGGTTTGCGAATGCGGTGAGCTGGGAGTCGGTGGTTTTGCCGAATTGCTGGAAGAAGGCTCACCAACAGGGTGGATAGCACGAGGTCATCACGAAATCACTGTAACTGACGCCCCATGTCCGAAGCCTGGAATCCGGGAGTCGAAGGCTTGCACCCGTCAAAGCCATTGGCAGCGTTCTTTGGCACTTTTCGGCTCCGTGTCCTCCTCCCTGTCACCAGATACTGAGCTGCAATCATCCTATCTGCTGTCCGGAGATCCACTGTAAGCAGTTGACGTCAGGGTACGAAGGCTTGTGGCTCGCATGGGGCCGCTGGCAATACTACTTTAGTATTAGAATCTGTACAAACCCGACTCCTGTCCCGGCTTACAATGTTCAATGCGAGACCATCGGTTCCATGGCCGTTCGCACAGCTCAGGTGCTATACAGCGCTGCCTTAAGTGCCTGCGATAAGGGTCAGCAGTGGCGCTCGGGTTTGCAAGTGCTGACAACTCTGCGGCTAGAGCGTGGGGAAGTGGACACGGCACTCTACAACGGAGCGATTAGCATGTGCGCGAAAGCACAGCAATGGCAGCATTCTCTGGCACTCTTTCAGGACCTACAAGAGGACCGGCTTCAACCTGACCTGATCACACACAACTCACTGGTGAGTGCATTTGAGAAGGGCGGGCAGTGGCAGAGAGCTTTGGCCGCTTTCGAAGAAACCTCAAGCATTGGCCCCAGCATCGTGACTTACAGCGGCTGCATCAGTGCGTGCGCTCGAGGGGGTCAGTGGCAGTTCGCCCTTTTCCTCTTTAAAGAGGCGAAGGAGCAGAGTGTGGGGGTGGATGTCATCCTTTGCAGTGCGGCCATCACTGCATGCCGGGGCGACCAGTGGCCCAGAGCCTTGCAGTTGCTCACAGACTTCGAAGACACCTCCCGAGCAAACCTGGTGGCTTACAGCGCGGCTGTAAGTGCCTGTGCACCAGGGGGGCACTGGCAGCAAGCTCTGCAGCTGCTTGTTCTGGCGCAAACACGTGCTGCTAGCTGAGACCATCAAACCAGTTTTGCCTTTTTGCAGTACGGCTTTCGCAGGCTCCAAGCAGCGCAATTAAGTTACATCTTAGGTGCTATCAGGGCTGACACGGCCATTTACACCTCGCTCATCGCAGCCTGCGCTGGCGCATCTAGCTGGCAACAAGCCGTTTTCGTCCTGCGGCAGCTTCGCTCTGGCATGCTGAAGGCCCTGCCTGCGAATCCTGGCTTGCCCATCAGATGTCCCATGCAACAAATTCCGACTGGTTGATTTCATCGGTGCTATCATTGAATTGACAGGCGAATCAGATCACCTATAATGCGGTCCTCAGTGCTTGCGAGAATGCGGAGGAGTGGCAGCATGCCCTCGAGGCCGACGGACTGCAAGCAGCAATATGGTGTTCAGGATTCGGCCATGGCAGATTGCACGGACGCGTGCATACACACACACATACACATACATATCTACATACATATCTACATACTATACATAATATATATATCTATATATATGTATATATATATATATAGAGAGAGAGAGAGAGAGAGAGATATATATATATATATTGTTTTTTTGGTGGGACTGGGAAGCAACCCTCAGCCGAAATTGATTTGACTAGGGGATTGTGCTGTAATTGTCACAGGCATTTGATGTCAGAGGTCGCATCTTCTGGGAGAGAAGCTTACCGTTGCACAGGATTTGTCGGCACCAAGCATGCACCCTATTCTGCGCTGCGCTCCCCCCTCCGAGCAGCTTTGAAGGTCCTGGCCTCTCTTCGGCAGGAGTCGATTCAGGCGACACGGGGCCTGCACAGCCCTTGGCGTGCCAACTCTGCTAATGTCCACTGCCGGGAGGCTGATGTCGCCAGCTTCAGCTCAGCAGTCGGAGTTTGCGGCCGATGCGGCTCGACCTTGCATAAAAAATAAAGGCCTTACCAGTGGGAGGCATTGTGGATGGTGCTATGGAGTCGTTTCGCATGCCGCCTCGAGTAGGGAAAGTGTGGGCTGTGGGGCTTGAGGCTGGCACTGGCAACAGTCTTTGCACCTCCTGTCCGCGGCCCTGCAGAACAGCGTGCAGGTTCCGATTGTTCTGCGGGAGCCTAGAAAGGGCTAGCGGCTAGGGGAGCGTAACTAGACAGAGCTAATCCGCCACAAGACCCAAGCGCATCCCAGCCAAAGCATGGGCAGGCCAACGCAAACCTCACTGTTCATTACCTTGCACCCAAACTCCCAAGGCAACGGTTATTTTTGCAACGGTTTGTTCTCACATTCCGACAGGTATGGTGACGAATAAACGATTCCGACAGGAAGACTTAGACTAATGGAATGCGCAGGATCGGGTAGCTGCATACTAGTGTGTTCTCCTGTCGGCCACTGTGTGACGTAGGCCAGGTCTTTTCGGAAGTGTTGTTCTCTTGTCTAATACTATGGTGACCGGCATGCCGTCGCGTATAAACGCTCGGACTCCGCATCACTTGCAGCCCTCGATGCTTGAGTTTGCAAGCCGAATTCAGCGCGCACCAACCAGGACAAGCAAGCCCAGCAGAAGATGAAAGCTGTAATTGCATACAGCGCCTGACAGATGTTCGATGTGAAATCAAGCGCTTCAATCTGCCTGCAAGCCAACTTTGGTGAGTGCAGCTTCGGCTTGGCCTGGAGAAGGTTGCAAGCTCTATTTCTGCCATGTAGAGTGCATGATGCATAGCAGAGTCAGGAGCTTCACGATTAGCCCGCGGGAGGGAGGCGGTCGGTCTTGCGATTCCTGAACGCAGGCAAACGTCATCCTGTACAGCACTGCGATATCAGCATGCGAGAAGGGCAACCAGACCCTTGGCCGCATGCGGTCTGGTAGGTCTCGAGCGTTTCGAGTTGGATGAGGGTCTTCCTTCAACCAAAGACAGCTCCTACGATCGATAGTTATAGGAGAACCGGTCCGTGAGTTGGTGTCGCAGCCTGGCCTGGCGCTTGAAGCATCGGCATGGCTAGCGGCCCTGCTAGGCCCGCGCTAGGCCCTCCCTCGGTCCGTGCTTTTTTTCGCAGGTGGGGAGTGGCTCTCCACTTGCTGGACCAGGCAAGAGCCCTAACAAGCAGAAGCCCGCAGTGCCGGAGCATTGTGACGGCAACATTGCATATGGTTGCATTCTTGTTTCCCACAGCGCAAAGGAAGAGGCGAGAGCACTTTACAGGTCTTGCAGAGAGTGTGATAGCGTGGCTTTCCGGTGACGGGCAGTGAAACCCTGCTAGCTGGCAAGATGTATTTCGTGCCTAACTGAGACAGCATTAGACTCCTAGACTGAGAAGGGCGTGCGACATCGCTGCACGCACATGCAGCGCCTTCGTAAGACCATAGCGGCAGCCAAACCAGCATGAAGTTTGAAGTACAGAACGACAGGTCAGTGCTAGGATGCCAGAGCTTCGACGTGACACCGGCATCAGAAAGTCGCAAACAAGACGAGGCATGACATGAGTGGACAAGAGACTCGGATGCTGCGGTGCGGCACGCTGCGAGTAAGACTGTTTGGCTGGGAAACCTCAAGACCGCGTGAGCCAACCTCCGAACAGACTGGCGGCCCCGGCTCGAACTCACAGAAGCTTTGACTTCGCTCCATGATCGCCTCTTGTTTGGCAGGCACAACGGGTGGCCCTGCGTATCGACGTCGTGGCCTCTAGCGCAGCCATCAGCGCTTGCGAGTCTTTCGGCTCGAGGGAGTTTGGGAATTGAGAGGTAACCTGAGCGTGGTTGCTCTCCCTCTGTCTCTGTCTCTGTCTGTCTCTTTCTGTCTCCTTGCAGCACGTGCATGGTTTCTAACTCTGCCTTCTAGGAGGTTCAACCGTTCCATACCAAGAAATCGGACGTCTTCCTCTCGAATCCTCTAGAGCCTGTGTGTACTCCGCCAACGTCCATGGCCAGGAAGGCGGGCCAGTGGCAACGATCTACATTTCTCTTGGAAGGGCTTGGTCCCAATGTGGCTTGACCATCATAGCTGGGCTGGGACCAGCCGAGGTTTTGGTAGGGCAAATATATTGGGGCAACGAGAAGCGTTTGAAACCTACATCTGGTCTTTCGCCTATTGACTGCTGTGAAGCACTGTCTGTTTCTCTGAGCTTTGAAGCTGGCGCCCTTGGGTGGGACCAGCCGAGCGGGTCTTAGTGTAGGATGGTACGCCCTGGGTGGTGCTGCTTCGGCTACTTCCTTGGAAACCCGTAGTGGGTCGTACATATACGACGGAAATCCGAGTAAATTCCATGACTGGGAATTTCGGACCGCGAGGCGGCTGAAGATCTAAGGATGCGATCCGCGCCAAGACGCGACCGACATCGGCAAAGAAAGGCGACAAGAGTGTCGACCTAGACGATACTGAGAGTGAGATCGAGGCTGCCAGCCCGACCCGAACTGCAGGCGCTGCACCCGCAGCCGGAGAGGACGGGCCCGCTACTGAGGCACAAGCAGAAGGCAGCGGATCTCCCACGAGACCGCGACCGGCAACCCCAAAGTCTGAGGACTCGGGCTCTGTCAAGAGCGTCTCCTCCATGATGCCCATGGACGAGAGCACCGCTTACTCTGTGAAGGCGAGGACCGAGATGGAACACCGCATTCTAGAAGGACTTCGGGAGGAAGCCTCAGGGCGCGCTTGTCATACAGCACCGTCGCCGACGGTGGTGGAAGCTACTTCGGTCCCTGGACAGTAGCATCGAGCTCTCCCAGCCGAAGCATGTGGAGTTCGTTCTTGAGTTGAAGGGGCTATCTAGACAGGAAGCCCTGGTTATCAAGGCGTGCACCAGTGACAGCCGCAACTTTGAGTCTGCGTGTGCTACCCTTGTGGAGCACTACAGTGGTGTGCACCTGCGCGCTGGAGGCACCTTGTTAGGTGGACCAAATGAAGACCACCGCCGCAGCGGAAAGGGGCCGAGACAAGGCTCCATTGGCAAAGGCTATTCCCGAGGAAAGGGGAAAGTTTTCGTTAGGAAGGCCTACATCGCTGAAGATGAGGCCCTGGCTTTTCCTGAGGAGGAAGGCTTCGGAGACGATGACAACCAGGACATCTATCAGGAGACCTCGTACCCTGCTCTTGGGGATGAACATGGCTACGAGCTCGAGAGGACGAAGCTCTTGCGTCTGTGAGAGCGGCCACGCCATACAGTTGCAATTGGCTGCCAATGCGGCGTTTGGTAATGCACCAGGCAAGAATGGCAAGAAGCCCAAAGGCAAGGAAACCATCTAGCAGAATGCAGATGGAAGGTGGCGATCGGAGGTTTACCTCGTAGGGCTGCATAAGGGCAGTACTTACGAGGAAGTTTCCCGTAAGTTGGAGTACGTCCATGGCGCAGCCCCAGCACAGATCCATGACTTCCTAACCTGGTTTAATAGATATATGATATCATTAACATGGTCTAGAGGGTCGCCATTTTGTGGGAGACGCGTCCATCAGTAGGTATCCCCGAGGGAACCTACAACCCAAGGCCCAAGGCAACAGGTCCGAAGAAGATGCCACCGAATCCCCCGATAGATCGGTGAGCGACTTGCACAGAATTCTCGTATCAAGTAAGTTGCGCGAACTACGTTCGTAAAACCTGCAGGGTCTGCGGCCACGTGTCCCAGGAGCAGCGGGAGCACGTGTACACTATGGATCCAGCAGTGTGCCCCCACACCGCCACGGACCACAGAGGACTTTCTAGGTGTACCTCCAGAACATTCTGCAGGATGCGCGGCACATTCGCGGACGAAGTGCCCCAAGAGTTCAACAAGGAGAGGAAGGCAGCAGCTAAGCGCATTCTGGAAGCGACCGAACAGGCGCTTCGCACGGTTCAAGCCGTTATGGCTGACGACGCAACCGCCGACCTCAACCCTGCGGCAGAGGAGGCCCTACACTTGGATTGTTCCAGGACCGAGTGACGCAAGCTTTGGCTCAAGAAAAGCGATTCCACCCGACCGCTCTTCACAGCTGGTTGCGCGAGGCCATCACGACGGTGATGGACCAGAGCCCCGGTAGCCCGTGGAGGTTCGTCCCCAGGCTCTCGGAACCCCCTTCTACTAAGCTTTTTTGCGCAAAGCACGTCAGGTCTCATAAAGGGTTTGAAGAATTGCACCTTCGCGGTACCTCCTCGACCTCCCAGCTACAACGGTAGTCCAAGGAACCACCCTGGTGGGTCCTTGCCTTGGTTGGTGGATCTGGGAAGAGAGCTGTTACTCCGAACAGGCAGCCGAAGGCCACAGCAGCGGATGGCCGCGTGGGCAGTCCCGCCCGTGACTGCGTCACCCAGAGGAAGTAGTGGGTCCAACGCGGTCCCCCCACCACCGTTGCTTGAGGCGGACCAACTTTGGAAGGAACCCTCCCGTTCCGCCGTGCGGCCAGGTGGAAGTGGTGGTGGACCCCCTGCATGGTGGGCCACCCAGTGGCGACGCTTCTTCCAGCACGCCAGCCGACTAGACTGGACAGGTAGAGCCATCCACTGAGCAAGTCGACCATATAGCCCATGTATGGATCGCATCAGCTGAGTAAGTCGCAGACACCACTCGCAGGATGATCCTGCATAGGCGGAGTATATCATACCATCGTCATGTGGTTGAGAAGCATATGATTGTACGGCCTGTATCGCATTTTCTACGCTCAAGACAAGAGAACAGGTTGAGTGTGAATCACTGTGTGTTTATCTGAGCTTTGAAGCTTTGGTCTTAGCACATCATGTACACACCGCTGCTGTTAGGGCCCTTGAGTTTTACCGGTAGAGATCGCAGTGCATTGGGAAACGACTGCCAATTTCAATACTGCTATTCTCGGTCAACGGCCCTGTCCGGATCCGCAATCAGATCTTGTCTTGTGGGCAAGGGGGCTGGGAGACAGGACATGACGGGACTCCCGACTCAAGACACCGAAGTCTAAGTGCTAAAGCTGGCGTTATGAGACTCGTCTGTGGGTCCGTGCCTGTCCTGTGTGAGTGTGCGTGTCGACAACAAACGCCAGCACGGGCGCCTCAAAGTGTTTGGCGCGTTCTGCATCTCCCCTTGCACAGTTCTTTGAAAAGAGATTCCGTTTCAGAGCCCGGCACGAGCTCTGAATCTTGACCAGTTGCAGGCTTGCACGTTCCATTCGGCACGCTTTTGGTTCTAACGTTGAACCATAGCCAACAAACAGGAGTTGAGGAGGTTCCGAGGTCCGCAGTGAATCGTGCAGTCGCCAACTACGGGGCGTCGATTTGATAAGAAACGGCACCTTTCTCCCCAGACCCGGATATTTCTTAATAGAGCAGGGCAACGGCTTAGGCTCTTAGACAGGCCCAGGAACGGTTTGAACGTTGGAAAATTCAAACGCGCGCATTTTGAACTTATTTCGCGGGCTGAAAACTCCAAAATGAGCGCGTTTGAACCTTCCAGGCTCGGGGAAAGGCGGCCTTGGGGAAAGTTCAAACGCGGGCATTTTGAGCTTTTCGCGGGCTGACAACTCCAAAATGAGCGAGTTTGAACTTTTCCAGGCTCGGGGAANNAGGGCGGCCTTGGGGAAAGTTCAAACGCGCGCATTTTGAGCTTTTCGCGGGCTGAAAGCTCCAAAAGGAGCGCGTTTGAACTTTTCCAGGCTGAGGGAAGGGCGGACTTGGGGAAAGTTCAATCGCGCGCATTTTGAGCTTTTCGCGGGCTGAAATCTCCAAAATGAGCGCGTTTGAACTTT